CAATGACTTGGCAGCAGCAGTTCTCAGGTGATACACCCTGAAACCAGAGAGGAGGGAGCCCGGATCCTCACTGGACCTTGCAATTGCACCTTTGGCCGTGGGTTATGTTGTTGTTGGGGCACCATCGGCCCTGAATCTGGTTTACTGCACACTTGCATTTGCGTTCCACACCCTATACGAGAGCAACTTTGCAGAGTGCCCTCTCATACTCCGGGACCCCTCGGGGAGTGTCGGAGAGTCAGTTTTGGCCCAATCCCTGCAGGCCAGGCTAAGGGACCCACCTGGTGGAGGGACCCTGCTCACTCCACAGATGCCAGGAAGGGACTGTGGGAGGTTGGCTCCAGGGCGTGTCCAGCCCATCTCTCCCAGTCCCGCCCCGCCAGCCACCTTCTAATTAATTTCCTTTCAATGTGCGTGAATCCGTGCATCCGGTCACTACTTTATAATCAGAGAAATATTAATACTCTCTTATTGGTTTAATAGGATTTTAGAAATTATTTAAACTTTATCATTCAGTCTTAACAAAGCATCAATATTTTCATTTTATGTAATGAAAAAATGTGACTCCATGTGTTTAGGTGATTAAGCTCCTCAGTTAGTAAGTATCTATAATAATAAAAGCATAATATGCTCATTAGACCGGACGTCTTTCTGGACGTCCTTCTAGACAAAGCCAGGGCTGCGAGGAAAACCTGGGTCCTGGGTGCCAGAGGGAAGCCGGTGCCGGCAGCCAGGGGAAGGAAGGCCTACTCTTGCATGAATTTCATGCATCAGGCCTATAGTCAAAGATAAAGCAAAACCCAAAGTCATTGCTTTTTCCACCATACTACAGCTGCCCCAATGCTAACAGCATTAGTGAGTTAGTTCCCAATTATCTATGCATGAATCTAATGAGAGCCTAGCCACTTACCATGGGCCCTTCTTGGGAAACTTTTTATCACACTTGCCTTGGCACACGTAGTAGGAGCAACATGGGCTTTGGAGTCAACTTCAACCCTGGGCTTGAATTCTCGCTTTGCTACATATTAGCTGTGCATATATGAACATAAACTCTGCCTTGTCTTCCCCTAGGAACATTGGCAATGATGATACTTACAATGGAATTTTTGTGTGATATCTCTGGCACATAGTAGGCGCTCAATCACCCACAGTGACATTACCTGGTCTCTCCTAGGATGGCATCAAGAGATACAAAATGGTCCTGGCCAGTGTGTGTCAGTGGTTAGAGCATCAGCCTGTGCACTGGAGGGTCAAGGTTTGATACCCGGTCAAGGGCACGTACCTGAATTGCAGGTTCCATTTGCAGGTTCCATCTCCAGCCTTGGTGAGGGAGGCTACCAATGGATATGTCTCTCTCACATAAATGTTTCTCTCTCTCCTCTCCCTCTCTTTTCCTCTCCTATCCCCCCACCCCACCAAAACAAACAAAAACCCATCCTCATTTGTCCGATGATGATTAAAAAAGAGAGAGAGAGAGAGAGTTATAAAATGATTTTGGGAATATTGGGTTTTGGGTAATGGAGCCCCGGCAAGATCCAATAGGAGTCTGTTTTAAGTGGTGTTAAACACCTGCAAAGAATTGGTATTCAGCCATATAGTCATTTCTTTAACGCAGTGGTTGGCAAACCGCGGCTCGTGAGCCACATGCGGCTCTTTGGCCCCTTGAGTGTGGCTCTTCCACAAAATACCATGTGCGGGCGTGCACAGGCAGTGCAATTGAAACTTTGTGGCCCATGTGCAGAAGTCGGTTTTTGGCCTGGGTGAGTTTATTTTGAAGAAGTGGCATTAGAAAAAGTGGGGGGTGTCGGTCAGTCGGGCTAAGGGAGATGCTGCGCAGGCGGGCAGCGGGATACACAGCGCGGGGAAGGTGAGTGCGATTCCTGCACGAGTTGAGTGAGACTGGCTACAAGATGAGTGAGGATGGGAGAGTTGGAAGGGGTCTACCTCAGCGAACGTACCTCAATCAGATTGAGGACTTTTTTAGCAAAGGCCAGCTTAGGAGTACCCTAATTAAGTTAATAACAATGTACCTACCAATATAGTTTAAGTTAAAAAAAATTTGGCTCTCAAAAGAAATTTCAGTCGTTGTACTGTTGATGTTTGGCTCTGTTGACTAATGAGTTTGCCGACCACTGCTTTACCTCATATCCTCATATTCCCATATGTCCCAGGAGAAATTGTATTAAGAAGAAAGACATGAGGCTCCTAGAGAACATGAGAAAATGTAGGAATGCATTTAGGCGTTGGTGAGCCTTTTTACAATGCTCAAAATGGATTTTCCTAATCCTTTTTTTCCCTCCCTTTATAGCTGATGGCGTCTGTGTCTTTAAATGCCTACTCAATCGAGACACCGAATGTTGCCGGGTGGGGAAGGAATCCGTCTTGATTACCCTGGGGTACAACAGTGCTCTGCTGAAGTTTGAGTCTTATGCTGGTAAGTTTTGTGCTTGTCGTGACCCCCTCCCTGTCTTTTCTGAAAATGAACCCCCTGATTGGTTGACTTTTTGCTGTTACTGATTGGCTGGCTTTCAACAGAATGTTTCCCGATGTGGGTTGTTCTCGATGAAAACAATGATATAAAACTGGTCCTGGTGCTTACCTGATACCCAGGCTAGAGCACCGTCAGCCTTTTCCTAGACCGTGAGAACGCTTTTGTTCTCCCCGCTTTGGGTTCTCCTGCATTCAGAGCTGATTTTCCTTGAAGAGGAGGCCGTTTGCAGAAATGTGATTTCCCGCTTCTTTGCCAATCAGAATGTTTTCATCCTATTTTTGTCTTTGGATCACTTGTCGAACATTTGTAGATTCTGGACAACAACTGTCAAGCAATAGGGAGGTAAACTAAAGTGTAAATAGAGCTACTTTAAGAAAGGGCTAAAAGGCACCCGGGAGATTTCCAGTCCGATAAAGGTAATTAGGGTTAACAATGCCACGCGTCTACCTTTGATGGTCTGTCGTCATTTCTTTAACTTAGATATGAAGCGTTCATTTCATGGTGTTAATCCAGACGATACCAAGTATTAGCAGTGGTACAGATTCTCCTCTGGGTAGTTAAATGCCCAAAGTTGTTCCATATTATGGTAACTACTTGGGATAAAGAAGTTAACCTGGTTTGTAGTTTCTGAACTGACTCCGAGTCAGCTAGAGTCCCTGGTGAGACACATTTCGTTTTAAGAAAGAAATAGCCAGTGAAAGAACAGGGAGCGATTGTACAGTACGAAGACTGAAGGGAAAACCTTTCTTCTAATGGGTTCACACTTGGAACACTTAATGCTCGAGGAAGTCACGCTGCTCAACTCCGCATAGAATGCGTATGTCCACAATGTCCATGTTTCAAGCATAGGGTACTGTTCAGAGTGGGTATGTAGAGTCTAAACAGGGTTAGGAGTTTTATTTTTTAGGGGCTCTCAACTTGAACTGCCTTCACTGTCTGGACAGAAACTTTTCTTTGAGCCTTTCTTTAAATCGCAGTGAAATAGAACCTTTGAGATTCCAGTAGACTAAGTCCAAAGGTATTGGGATCCATTTTACTGCACTACTTCCAGCCCTCTAGTTAAATAGTCTAGATAGTCGTGAGGCCTGGAACCAACTCAGTATTGGGGGCCAACGACAGGAGCCTATTGGTCCTACACAAAGGCCCCTGTAAGTAATATCTGATGCCTTAGCTGACAAGGAAAGAGAGTGAACGGACCCTTTTCGTTACATTCCTTGATACAGAGATTTTGGACTTAGTAATGAAATTTGTATTCCATGTGCTTTTGCCTAACTTAGAATACAAATGACTAAGTTTCTACTTAATGTGTTTATACCAATCAAAAAAGCAAGAAGGGAACTTTTAAATAGGGAGCTCCTAGGTGGGACTAATTCTGAGATCATGAATTCATTATTGGTTCAGCGTGTAACCTGTGTTTCAGAAATGAGCACAGAGACCTTGGCCTACCTTGCTTTAGGACACTGGCCGTAATTGATTAGTCTCCTTTGTTCTGTAAGAAGGAAAGGTAATCGATACCAAGAATTTTAGACTCTACTTGAGAATTTTCCCAAGGGTACCTTATACCACCTTCCTATTCTGGAGTTTGTGTGTGTCTTGATTTTGCTAGGACTGAATCGCAGCACCATATGGCTTCCAAGTACAGATGTTTGCAAATTAATGGTCCTCCTTAGTTTAATTTAATAATAGTTTTCAAAAGCAACTAATGCCCCTGGGGAGAGGGTTGCCTGTCTGATTTTCCTGGCCCTAGTGACTGAACAAGCCAAGCAGCTGGTCCCGCATTCTGGATCTGTCAAGGCAGGCGGTGGTGCGAGGGACCGGAGTCCACAGCTGCAGGCTGGTTGTGTGGCAACTGAGGAGCAAGCTGGCTGTGACTCAGTGCGTCCCCGAGGGCCCAGATCCCAGGTGGCAGTGGGATCCTGTCATTTGCCAGCTTGGGTGTTGACAGAAAGCTGTGTACATCAGACACAATTGCTACATTTTTGAGATGTGCTCTGCCTTTCTGGAGTAAGACCATGTGGCATTTGAAATGTGAGCCTGCGATTTTACATTTAGAAGTGAACAGCTGCCAGTTTTCTAGAGGTTGGGTAAGAAAGAAAATTCAACTTTATTGGGAAGTTGATCAGTAGGGATAATTAGGCACTACTAGGAAAGGAATGATCAAATACCCAAATATATCTCTAAGGAATATTTCTTTCCTTCCTTCTTTCCTTCTTCAGAATTGTGACTCAGTACTCTCCAAGCCTGATTTGGCCACATGTCAAATAATCGCCAGTGTTCTCCGAGACCACTGTGAAATCTGGCCATTAAATCTCACTGTATTTTAGAAGCAGTGGGAATATTTAATGATGACAGGTGTCATCAGAGAAAGAAGTTTTAATTAAATGGACTTAATATCTATGACAAACTGACTATGAATGTACTAGATATGTGCAGGGTTTTTTGTTTGTTCATTCATTCATTCATTCATTCATTCATTCAAAAAATATATATTGAGAGCCTATTATGTACCAAGCACTTAGTTATGTGCTAAAGATATAGCACTGAGTAAATAGAAGTCCTTACAAATGTGTAGCTAACATTTTATGAGGACACAGACAATAAATGAACATACTGGTAGATAGTGAAAATAAACCAGGGAAAGAGACAGAGAACGACTGGGGATTAAGTGTGTATACTGTTCATAGGTACTTTCTGAGGGAAAGCCTCACTGATTAGCTGTCATTGGAGCTGTAATGGACAAGGGAAGGAGCAGAGCCCCGTGTGTGTCAGGGTAAGGGTGGTCCAGACAGAGGAACAGAACTACGAAGACCCTAAGGCAGGTTGTACTTGAAGAATGGCACTGAGAGCAGAGGGCCCAGGTGGAATGAGGGAGGAGAACGGTGAGATCAGCGAACTGGAGGCCAGATCAGGGGAGACGTTGGAGACCATGGTGAGCATCTTGGTTTTCCTCTGAGGAGGACTGAAAGCATCGGAGGGCTTGCCGCAGAGGCCCAGCATTGTCTGAGTCTTACTTAATTTTTAGATTCTTTTTAGAGGTAGGTATTGATACCTTCTCTCTTATTCTCACAGCGGAATTATTGTTGTTTATTCCCATTTTTAAGCAAAGCTGTTAAGGCTCAGAGGTTCGAAGGAAATTGTCCGTGTGACAAAAAGAAAATGTAAGGCCCATGTTCTTTCAACAGCTTCCCAACTTCCCTTCCACTCTGCACTGGTTGACATTTCATCTAGAAAACTCACATTTGGAATTGGGGTAACACAGCCATGGAAAGCCAACTTTTATCGGCATTTCACTAATGGAGAAAAAGAAATAAAGATACTGGTGGTCCTTATTTCGCAAGTTTATGAATCAAGAGAAATTTCTTTATCCTTTTTTATTTTGAAAAAAATTTCCAACTTAAAAGTTTCTTAAACAATACTGAGAATTTCTGGATATCCTTAAAACAGATTCATTAATTTACAATAGTTTGTCACACTTGATTTATCTATGTGTGTACATATGTAAATACATATTATCATTTTATTTCTGAAACCGTTTGAGAGTAATTTGCATGTCATACTCCTTTACTCTTTAGTACTTCACAGGTATACACCATCTTATATAATAAAAGCCTAATATGCTAAGTGTCCAGTTGTCTGGTCACCCTTTCAACCAATCAAAGTATAATATGCTAATGATACTCTAAGGCCGCTCAACTGCTCACTATGACGTGCACTGACCACCAGGGAGCAGACACTCCAACCGGTAGGTTAGCTTGCTGCTGGGGTCCGGCCTATTGGGACTGAGTGAGATGGGCCGGACATGCTCTGGAGCCCTCCCACAGTCCCTCCTCGGCCACAGTTGTGCACCGGTGGGGTTCCTCGGCCTGACCTGTGCCCTCTCGCAATCTGGGACCCCTTGGGGGATTTCGGAGAGCTGGTTTCAGCCCAATCCTGCAGGCCAGGCCAAGGGACCCCACTGGTGCACAAATTCGTGCACCAGGCCTCTAGAAAACAAGAATATTCTCTTTTGTAACCACAGTAGAATTACCAAACTCAAGAATTTAGCATCTCTGTGTATTTATATATAATTTACAGTTCATAGTCCAGTTTCATAAATTATCCCAATAATGTCTTTTAGAGCACTTTTCTCTCTCTAGTACTACATCTGGCCTAGGATCATGTATTGTACTTAGTTGTCATGTCCCTTTAAACTCTTTAATTTGGTTGAGTTCCTCACCCTTTTTTCTTTCTTTGATGACATTAAGATATTTGGAGAAGAGGGATCAGTTATTTTTATAGAATATTCTCTAATTGGGGTTTTTCTAATATTTCCTTGTGAAAAGATTCAGGTTATGCATCCCTAGTCAGAAAACTACCTATCAGATATTGTGTCCTTCTCAGAATATCACCTCAGCAAGCACTGAGGTCTACCTACCCCTTATGAGTTTTGATCACCAGGTCAAGGCATTTTCTATTTTCTATGCACAGTTACTCTGCTTTCCCTGATAGTTGTAAATAGTAAGGAGTCTGGATCAAGGCACTTTGGTATCATGCAAATATCCTGTTCCTCATCAAATAGCCCAAATTTAGTATATGTTTATTATCCATTGCTTTGGATGTGAAGTTGAGGGGTTTTTTGATATGTTAACCTTGTATCCTGCAGTAATCTTGCTAAGTCACTTAATTCTTGTAGGTTTTTTTTTTATAGATTCCCTAGGATTTTCTACATAAATGATTGTATCATCTGTGATTAGAGATAGTTTTGCATTTCCCTTTCCTAGCTGTATTTGTGTGTGTGTGTGTGTGTGTGTGTGTTGTTGTTGTTTTTTGCTTATTGCACCAGCTAGGCCTTCTAGTATAATGTTGCAGAGAAGAAGTTAGAGTGGGCCTCCTTACCTTGTTCATGATCTCAGGAAAAGCATTCAGTTTTCACTATTAGTTGTAGGGTTTTTGTTGTTGATGTT